ACCCAATTGTATGGTTAATTAGGCATGTATGCTCCGATAAAGCTGAATTTTCCTTTTTGCAAAGGAAAACCGCTTTTTGGTGCTCTTTTAACCGTGTACCAAACTGACGTTTGGTCTGTCCGATGTATTCGTTGTCACAGTCATTGCAAGGAATAGAATAATTGGCGTCGGTTCGTTGTTCTTTCGTGACAGGATCCTTAGGTTTGGCGAGAATATGCCCCAAAGTCTGAAAAGGTTTTTTAGCAACTTTAACGTTGTGGCTATTCAAAATTCTCTTGATGGGTTCAGTAACACCTGTATGTAAGGAATAACAGCAAAACCAGTCACTGGTTCCCTTTCATCAAGAGCGTTACTAATTGTAACTGGTTTTTGGCAGTTACGGAGAAAGGTTTTTGTATAGCCATTTTCCTTTAGGACATTGGAGACATATTTCCTCTCCTCAGCCTTCGAATCGAGTGAAGATGGTAGACAGTCAGCCCTCCTTAGTAAAGTTTTGGCTACAGACTTTTTATGGCAAATAGGGTGGTGAGAATCGAAGGCGAGGTATTTGTTGGTGTGGGTAGGTTTACGGTAGACACTTGTCTCTAAATTACCCTGAACCCCTCTGGACACATTTAATTCAAGAAAGGGCAAATGTTTATCCTTTTCACGCTCAAGGGTGAATTGGATCGACGGCTCTACTGAATTCAAGTGCGACAAGAGGCGCTCCGCTTCATTTCCGGATATCGCAGAAATAACATCATCGACATATCGTTTCCAGAAAAAGGGTTTAACCGGTGAAGTGGCTAAGACCCTTTGTTCCACGTCTTTCCATTACCATGTTGGCAATGACAGCAGAGACGGGCGAACCCATCGCTGTACCAAAAACTTGTTGATAGTAGGTGCCGTTATATGTGAATTGCGTGGTTTTGAGGCAAAAAAACAACGGATGAATAATATCCTCCACAGGCAAAGAAGTTCTTTGTAGGGAAGCATCTTCTCTGAGTCTCTCCTCCGCAACCTTAACGGCAAGATCAACTGGGATTTTAGTGAAAAGCGAAACAACGGCGAAAGATACTAATTCTCCACAAGCGTTAAGAGTTTTATCTCTTATGAAATCCGCAAATTCGCAGGAATTTTTGACAGTGTAATCAGTATTCCCGACAACAGGCGACAAAATTCTCGCAAGATAACCAGAAATAGCATAAGTCGGAGAATTAACAAAAGAGACTATGGGTCTCAAAGGAATTCCCAGTTTATGAATTTTAGGTAAGCCATAAAAACGTGGGCATAAGCCGTCACTACTGTATAACATTTTATACGTAGAGTCACTAATTTTACCAGCTTTTTTCAAATCAAGCAACATTTTGTTTAACTTTCTTTGAGTTTTACTGGTAGGATCAGAGTTTAAGACAGCATACGTACTCTTGTCATTAAGCAGAGACAAAGCTTTGTCGTGATATTGCTGTTTGTCCATAACCACAACACAATTACCCTTGTCAGCAGATAACACGAGCCTGTCCGGATCCTTTTTGAGAGCTATAAGCGCATTGAAAACATCCTTTTGAATGTTATTGGGAGGAGGTTTAGCACGCCTGAGTATGCTACTTACTTCTGCTCTTACCAAATGCCTACGATCGTCGTTGAGTTGAGAGATACTCTCCTCAACTGATTTATTGCGCGTGTAGTTGCATAAAACTTCTGTTATCTCAAAATGGTCCTTAAAGGATTCTCTATCACTCTTAGATTAGTAAACTTGCAACGTGACGCCTTAAACTGCTTTTAGTTTTTCAGTTCAACTTCATTAATTAAGACTGTATTGTTCTTTTCTTGTCACATCTACTACCCACACAATGTGCGAACTTTAATGGAGGTGAGACTTCAGTAATCAATTAGTAACCAATCCAAGTGCGTTTTTTACCAAATTGAAAATTTGATCGAAGGGAACTGTATACAAGGTGGTCGACTCTTACTCGATTATCATATCAGCATTGAGCTTCAATCGCTACTTTATCAAACAGTTAAAATTCGCGTCATCGTTAACATGTCTGCAGAATGTATTGCTTGCCAGAATCCAATACGAGCACGTCAGCAAGGCCTCCAATTTGATAGTTGTTTTCGCCGGCAACATCGTACTTGTGGAACGGGAATCCCAGTGTGATTACCGTTTTGCTGAGCAAACTGGTGCTTCCATCGACTGGCGCTGTGTTACCTGTCTGTCCATGTCGCTGTCTGAGAGTACGCCTGTCGCTGAGAGTACGCCTGTTGACTTCACCGGGTCTATGTCCACCCTCTACGAGCCACTTGCCGATACTGCTGTTGATGAATCATCAATCCTTGAGCCACTACCTGCAGCCGTAGAAAACGACTCTTCCTTTACTGTCACCTTCCAAATCCTGGAAGACTCCACGACGAAAGGCAGACCGAAGCTCATAGACAGTAGGGACTAGGCTGATAAATCATCACAAACAAAAGACAAACGGCTCCTTTAGGAGACACCAAATAAAATAAAAGCAATGATCAACAATGCAATACATGCCAATACATAGAGTACACAGAAAAACTAAAAACATGACAGTTCTTTTCATAAAAATATAAATTCCTTGAAAAAGTCGAAGAATTTACGCAAACTTAAGGTTATCTTTATTCAAACTCGTAACCTTTTCTAAAAGGGGGTTTTGAGGGATTACAACGCATAGGAATTCGTGTTGAGGAAAGTAATCGAACGAAATGATATTTTGTGTTTCTAAGTTTTAGCGAACGCGACTGGAAGCTGCATTAGTTAATAAACCTGAACTGACATAAGTTCAAAATCAGTCCAACTTCAGCTGTAGCGAAGTAACTTTTGTATGCAGCGAACTTACCCGAGGTGACTGGGGACGAAATGACCATGGGGCGAAGTGACCAGATACCGCCTGCACAATATCTATTGATGTCATAAGAGCAGAAGAGGGGTATTTAGAAATGGGACTGCTACGCTGCATCAAGAACGTGAACATACTTCGCCACCGAGCGTTTTTTCTTAAATCATCACTCGAAATCTAAGCTTTTCAAAATTATGACTTAAACCCTTAGATTAGTCCAAAACTTTAATCGACTGTCAAAGAATGAGGATGGATTCCCAGACTGCCCTTAAACAGTGTTGTTGGGGCTGCCCTAACCTTAAACGTGGCCTCGTCATAATCATTTATGAATGACCATTCTCTGGGAACATTTATCAAACGATATTTCAGTTTTGGCAATAATTTTTATTGTTTTCTGGAGGGAATAACGTTTAATATTCCGCCTAGTCTTATAGGATGGTTTGTATGGTCGCCTTATCTGATCAAAATAAATTCATTATGCTCTGTGGTTTGAACTCAGTTTGACCTTCATACTCGTGGACGGTTGTCTTTTCACATTTCCAGTAGGTGTACATTTTTCATGGCATAAAAGGTGAATAATGCTTTTCGTGAGCGCTGATTGACTATATATATATATATATATATATATATATATATATATCTGTGAGGTATATAGTAAAACAATTATTCACCTCAGTGTCGTTGAAAGTGGTGGATATTTACGCACCGAGCCGCCAAGCGGTGAGATAAATATCCACCACTGTCCGCCTCCACTTCGGTGACTAGTCGTTAAAAATCTGCAACATGCTGTTTTTTTTCTCTCTTACGATCTTGCCACTATGTTTTTTCAGAGTGACACGCCATTTTACCAGAAATTTTAGGTCTGGATAAGCTGAGTAAAATTCGCGGAAATCTCATTTAAACACTTGATAACGAAGTTCTTATTTGGGAGGTGAAGTAGCCATTTTGGTGGCAGGAGGAACCTATTAAAGAGAATCGGGTACAACCAAGCTGCGATTAAGCATATCTTAACATTTTATTTTTTTAGTTTTTACTTTATTTTTTTATTGTGTATTACTCTTATTCGGCCGGTTCAAAAATTATCAATTTCCAAATCCGTTATCTCCCGGGGTTAGAATTACTTCCACTTCTTTTTTCGTTTTACCGTTATACACTTTTTTTAAGCAAAGTATTGCGCCCTGCGGAGCACTAAGTGGATGTGTTGTAATTCAAATTTTACTAGAAGAAAACGTCTTTTTTATCTCTTACTTAGCATAACAAGTTCTCCCGTTAAACGGTTTCGTAATAACCGAAGAAAACAAGTCATCGATCTCATGAAATTACGTGAAATGAATTTTTGAACCTCATCCACAGAGATATTTGTAATATTGATTAAAATGCGATTCATTAGGGAATTTTATTTCTACCAACTTATGACAATGTTCTGGGTTTTTTTCTTTTTTTTTCCTATCATAATTTACACTTTCCTAGCTTTGTACTTAAGAGTCCTAAAGGTTTATTTTATGAGGTTAAAATTGTGTCCTAATTTTTTTATTATTATTTTTGTTGTTGTTTGTGATGTTTTTCGTAGGGAGATCATCACCCGAGGCGCAAATTACTGAGGTATTGTTATAATGATTGTAACGTGTTGTCAAATTACAGGGTATAATGTGACATTTCGTTTTAGCACTAGACAAAGTTCAGTGAATGATTTAAATATTTGGCATCGGAAAGATCATTTTGCTTATTCCTTTCGTGTTCTTTTCCATTTTCTCCCACACTTAGCTAAAATCACATCACGTGAGGAAAGTATATTTATAGCCTTAAGTTAATGTTTCAGCGCAAACCTCACGGTCATTGTGGGGTGTCCCTTAGCTATTTTAAGTCGACATAACGTGTAATCAGCGAAAATCCAGCTATCAACTTGAAAGTTTTGACACCTCGGTCATAAACCTCTTCCAAAGACATGATTTGACGAAACTTGTCTTAATCTACTCCGACAAATTTCCCTGCAAACCCGGCTTAATTAGTGGCGAACAGTGTGACATTGTTGTATTTATCCTCACTTGAGTATGACACGAGTTTACAGAATCTTTAGGGGCCATCTATAGTTTTGCTTAGCCAAAATTTTCATTAAGTCAATTGAAAAGAAAACTTATTTGTTGCGCACGCCGGGCAGGTGTTTAAATGTTGCTAGAAATAATACAAAAGTAAAACTTTTGCATGACGATCAAGAGTCGACCGAGAGATTTCTTCGGCATTATCGCCTTTTGGTACAAGCTCAAGGCTTAAATTAGTTTTAGAACAGAGAGGTGAGCTTTGAATTTTTGTCTTTTCACATATTTCAGTTATCGAATTTTGATTTTAAAAACATAGCAGAATTTAGAATTTGGGCGAATAAGGACAGGAGAAATACAAGAAGCATAGTTGGGCAGCTAAACACCATTGCCTACACTGAAGCTACAACGAAGCAAACGAGAACTTCAAAACGCTAAGGTCTTGAAATTGCTAAGAGAGATTTCAGTTTAACGCAGCTCACTGTCATTTCACTCTCATGAACTGGTCTAACCACATTTCAGATCTTTCATTCAGATCTTTCATTTATAGCCTCTACCCATATCAATATTTTTACATGCAGGGAAATCGGGTTCAAGGACCATGGAATTTTTCTGCGACAGTACTATTGGTTAAGAAGAGAAATACTTTTTTGTAAGTAATACAAATGAAAAAAAGAATATGAGCAAATAATGAAATTTCAGATGACAAATTCAAATTGTCGAAATGGTTTTTTCCCCATTTATTTTAACTAAGCTTAATGAAGCCGGTGATGTTATCAAGAGAATATAACTTGGCGCTGGTGCCACATGCTCAGAAGACGAATATTTAAGCAAAGAGTTAAAAGATTTTTTTGTGAGCTCTCAGCTTCTAAGCTGGATCTTCTAAGATGGATGTCAAAAATATTATTACAATCTAAAAGAATAACAGTTTTACTTCGATAAAGAGACAGGTGTTTATTTCTGTCATTTATACGTTCGTGAGCCTGATTTGATCTTAGTGCATATCACGATATTGGAAAAGTTCTTGCAAATAAGAAAAATGAAATTCTAAAAGCTAGATGCTTTCTTAGCACCATACGTGCTAACTGCCACCTGTTAAATGACTTTCCCACTCAAATTTAATCGGAAATGCATCATATTGCACAATAATAAGGAAAACAAGTCTGAACCTTTCTTGCAAATTTTTTCTCAGCTTCTCAGCTGGATCAGGAAATATTATGCAAACATGTTTTAAAATTCATGTTAAACCTTCGGAGCACCTTAGTTGACAACCTGCTGCTCGTATTTCAATGCAGATCACATTGTGAACGCAAAATATTGCACAAGACGTGGTAGCATTTGATTTAATGTTGAAAGTCTAAGTTCCTTATTTTTTTATTTATTTTTTTTTTTTTGAGGCAAAGAAATTGACATCGAACCCTCTGGCGTGTAGTCTCTCTGTAGTTTCCTTCATACGATAATTTCGATCGATGACCATCTCGAGACTGCGTTAGGAATTCTGATAGGAAACCGTTTGGTCACTACAAGATTAAAAAATAGTCGTGAAAGGCAAGACTTTAGCATGAAGAATACTCAGTTACCATGTAGTGGCGTAAATTAATTTATTACCATTCTACAAGTAACACGCCTTAAATGTCCATGAGCCGTGTCATATTTAATTACATACGATGTGCATTTGTTATGCTTTCACCCTCACATCACCAAAGTTGATAACGTGCATAATTACATCTATCGGTGTGATTTTCCACGGAATAACTTAGCGCGACTAAGGAAAAATTAACATTAAAAGTGAGGTGAAGAAGAGTTCAGCTGATCCTTTTGAAAAATCATCATCCTCAATCATCTGTGCTTTTTCGAGTTAGCAGAAGTTACCTTCACTGTTACAGTATTTTTACTGCAAAACAGGCAAGTTGGCGCCACTGTTAAGACTGTTCTCCTTTGTTTCACTTGACATCACCTACTTGTTTTAAATGAAAAAGAAGGGGCTGTAATCTATTGCGTTTTTTATTTCTTTAATTTCACTGAAGATAAAACATAGACAGATATCGAAATTTCTAGAAGTTTATTCACTGGTGTTTAGTTGTCAGTCCCATTACAATATTTTTTTCCCCTTTTACTAAGTGATAGCCTTTGCCTGGGCCAATATTTGTTTTTCGTTTCCTCATATTGCGCTAAAGATTGATGACATTTTTCTTTAAACAAATTTTACGATCTCAGAGGAGGGAGATTTGTCATTTTAAGTTCAAAGAAAGCAAAGTACAAATCGGTAATTAATGTTTACTGTTCCCATGGCGCTATTCCTCATTGGTTTCAACCAAATGAGAAAATCATGAAACATCACCCGCTGCTGGTCTCAGGAACTTATCCAACCTGTTTGGATATGAGTTATGCGTGTGCTATGTCTAAAGTACCACAAACAGACGCCAGTCCCGAGTAAATAGTATAGCTTACGACTAACTTACAACGAGTCTAAAAGCCAGTTTTCTTCTCAGTATTATCTGAAATAGCTGTAAACTGAAAATAGAACAGTAATAGCTACCTCTAGATTTCTTGACAGTTTTCAGTAGCAAAACGCTTAAATAATATAATGCATCTTAAAAACCTTTTCAAATAGATATCGTTTGTCGGTTTTAATCTCCTCGGGAAAGAAAACATCCTTATAACAATTCTTTGTCAGGGATTGCGACCAATTTTTCAGATCAGTCTGAATCAAGATCTCAAGCAGCTAAGAAAAACATGATCCAAAAATACGGAAATACTTAAAAATCGAACGAAGTGTTCTCTTCCAGTCATTATTTGCATTTTCGGATAAGGAACAAAAATGAAAATTGACCACCGAACAGGGTTGCTTTTCGTCAAACAGTGAGTGCAGTTATCGAGCGGACTGAATGAGTGTAATAATTCTCAGAAATAAAAATACCTGCTGTCTCCTCATTACTAACTCTTTAAGCTAAACAATCTAAATAGAACTTTTCGAACATCTCCTATAGGTTCATTACATGTACAACTGAGAGAAACATTATGGACGATAACACCACGTGTCCTCCAACAGCGACCGTCCCTTCCACAGCACCGCCTCCAAAGAGCCAGGACACCACTCTGAACGTGATTTTCTGGGTTATCGCTGTTGTTTCCTTTACTTCCAATTCGTTATTTTGCATTGTGCTTCTTAGAAAACGGTCCATGCTACGGAAGGCCCATAATATTCTACTGTTCAGTTTAGCAGTCGTAGACATGCTAACTGGTGAGTTTCATTAGCCAGCTCTGTATGTTTTATCAAGTTGCGCTTTCTTTTAACTCCCAAAAGAGACTAACATGAAACTTCTCCCTGTAATATCTCTTAATTATCCAGCAAACAGGTGATGAGAATACTGACACTTATATTAGGTAGATTTTTGTTATCCTCATCTAACACCAAATTCTCATAACTAATTCACAAGGAAATCTGTAACAGCTAGAGGGAAGAATTGACAATAAGATCGTGGGTTAATCCATGAAGCTTACTCAAATTTAGACTACGCACCTGCCAATCCCTGCCCAACTTTTTAAGTCAAAAGCGTGACATTCTCATCCTCAGAGTGCTAGATTTTTCGTGAAAACCCGATCACTTCCGGAGACGTTAGAATATTCTAGGAGACGCTCTGATATTCTGGAAGATGCTCCGAAGATTCAGGAGAGCACTCCAAATACTTTGCAAGGTGTCCTGTAGGGTTGGCAAAAGCATGTAATCAATTCCACAACTGAAGGTTTTAGATAATTTAAGATCATTGGAAGGGACCTTTTCCTCTGTCAGAATGATTCGAGTTTTATTTTACGCCACATGTTTTTCAAAAATGTGTAAGTTCAGGCTGTGACTACACGAATTTTGCTGCTGGGCTTGAGAAACCAGTTGCCTGGCGTAACTGGGCGTGAGATCGGATTTTTCGAATGCAGAAGTGCGAATCACACCCAGGCTTGATGGTTGGTAGGTTAAGCAGACACTTAATTCATTTTCATAGAAAACAAGAAATTCAAGCAAACCAAATCATTGCAGGTTATGCATAGAATTTGGAGCCGCGATTTTCTATCTGTTAACTGAGTATTTCCGCTGGAATGAAAAGTGCGCTTAGTTGCCAGAGTTCCTCGCTTCCTGGGAAAATACAAAGAAAGTCATAAAACAAGGGTTAAAATCCATGTTTGCGACAATCTATCTCTCAATCAAGTCGTGTAACCTTTCGGTAAGGGTAGTCACTCGGAAAGTAGTATTGTCGGTGCCTGTTAAAGGTCTGGTCAACTTGAGTGGAGGTCATCAATAAGTTTAATTTTAAGTCTTCAACAGTGCTTTTCAGGGCTACTCTCACTTGGACGATCCATTTACACGATTTGATTTAACTCCGCTTTTGTAGCTACTCCCTAACCTGTACTCATCATTCTCCACATCACTCTAATTTCAATTCGTAAACCGTTTAGGAGTGTTCCTCGTGGCTACTCCCGGATATGCCATATCCAAGTCTGACTACCCAGTCCCTCTCGGACTACGCGGTGAGATTTTTTGCCGCCTGCTCGCCAACAGATATCTGCTGTTCGCAATGGGAAAAGTTTCCATACTTCTTGTGGCCTATCTGGCTGTTGAACGATGGTATTGCGTGTTCAGGCCAATCAGATACAGGAATCAGTTTAACAGAAAACGTATCATCATATCTGTTTTTATCATGTTTATTGTGACGTGTGTTCTTTCCATGAATAAGCTTTTTGAAACATGTCTCGTAGGTAATAAGTGTGTTTCGAAGAAAGCCCCTTACGGCAAGTACGGCACTCGAGCCTTTATTATCACTTACAGTTTTGTGGCATTTTACATTCCTTGTTTGTTGACATGGCTCACATTTGCCCATATTATGATAAATCTCCCATCATCCCCTGGGGAAAGCGTAGAAAATGTGAACAAACGAAGACGACAGAGATTGCTTCTGCGCATGTGTGCCTTAACAGCGGCCGCTTTGACAATCTGTGTTTTCCCCTCACAAACCATTTACGTTCTCAGTCCTTTCGGGATCACTAAAATTGGTAGTCCTGTACATAAAGGGTTTAATATTCTTGTGTTTATCAACTCTTGCGTGAATCCGTTTATCTATTGTTTTACAAACAAAGAATACAGGAAGGAGTTTAAAAGGCTCTTGGGGTGTAACAAAGGTTATCAGGTATCTCCAGAGACCGAGATGGGACCAAATCATACTCAAGCAACTACGGCAATGAATTGATAACATTAACTGGTAAAATCAAAGAGAGACATAAAATGGGTAAAAACGGGCTTATCCTACTTTGACATAGAACATAAAAACGCAGTGAAGAAACAAAATTGTTTTGGTGGGCTCATGATCAGCGGAGATAATTGAGAAAATTTTTCCGTGACAACCGCTGTTCCCACGCATCTTCACCGACTTAAAGGTCTGGAACGGGCTGGAGACAGTATTGTATAATAAAATTTAGCGTCATGATCTAAATCCACTGCACGAAAACCTTGTTGTTCTTGCATCAAGACCAATTGTTTTACCAAGTGCAAAAAGACACGAGCTTAGTGTTAATAACTATTAATGGCGTATATTTATGATCTCATAGCATGTTTTCTTGACTTTGTATAGAAACATTTAAAACCAAGATATCTTTTCACGTAATCTTTCTAAGTATACATTAGAACTTGAATTCATATATCTAAAAATGTGACCTCTAAAGGTGTAGCACATAGCCACATCGACAACTTTGCGCATACCTAGCGGTATGCTACCTTTTTCAGGAAAAAGTAAATAACATTTGCTTGTTTCAAAAGTTGTAACTGACTACCTGCAACTTTTCTTATTACGCATGCACTTGGTGTAATATGGTAGAATAAACCTCAATGCTGCAACAAGGAATTTGAGGTCAGTAGTGGAAATTGTATGTGAAGCTTCTATAAATCTGAGAGATTGCCACATTTACAGATTTATTTTAGGACAATCAGAGATTCAATTTTTTTTTAGTTGTGTAAAAAAAGGGTAAATATGGAGATAAAAGACAAGAAAACGAAAAGAAAATTCAGTGCCCAAACTTAGAGACATTCCTTGATCTACAAAAAAATAATGCATGGAGGTACTATGAGGTAAAAACACTCAAAGGCTTTATAAGGTTTACGTTTACGCACTTTAATGTTCTACTGATTAGTAAGCTTAAAAATTAGAATCTTGGGTAATACCGATGTAACAGCCGTTGCTGAAAAAAAAAACAAATAAAATTAACTCTGTGTGCGACTGTGAATATATGAAAATCATATATGTGAACTGCGGTTTAAGAAATGAATATGTAGGCGATCTTCGCAGTAATTAACACTACTTAAACAGTATTGAAAATAAGGCCTGAAACAAATTTAGACCTGTACGGGATTTGAACCCATGATCTCTGTGATACCAGTGTAGTGCTCTACCAACTCGGAGCTAACAAGCCAACTGGGAGCTTGTCATTATGTTAGTTCGTAATAAGCCCGTGAAGTTATGAAACCATGACTGTGAATACATGAAAATCTTATATGTGAACTGCTGTCGTTGATAAACTTTCTTTACTTCTTATAACTTTACTCTACTTACTTACTGGGATCTAGCTCTGCTCTATAGAAAAATGTTGGTCATCAGCTTAAAAATATGACACTTACTGAGCTGTCAATCTTTTACCGTCGTCACCGTTCCGCACTGAACTAGCGAATCACTTTAAACGGATTCTGAATACTAAGTACTTTCCTTCGAAATACTGACTCTTTACAAAATGACTTTCCACTTTAAATTTCTTACATTCTCAGTTAAGTTTTGGTAAAACAAAACAGGATTGGCGATACAAAAATTATAGTGAACTTATTGACGGAATTTGAATCTTATTTAAAAAGATATCTACCGAGAAAATAGCCTTTGAAGACCGTTACGTAACAACAGAATAAACAGATAATTCGAAAAAAGGGCTTATCAAATACCACCCCTAGATTAAACGAGCTACGCGCTGTTCGTATGAGTTATCCGATCACAAATTCAGTGCGAAGGATTAATAATGGTAATAGGACTGAGTGGAATCCACTTCGGTCTGTAATCATACGAGCGATTAACAATTTTAACAATTTGTCTATCACAAGTATGATTACATACAGAATTGGACGACACGAAGTCCCGTTACCAATTAATCATAACCTCTACAATTTTCGAAAAAGCCAATGCATTTATCACATACATCTCCGATGAAAACAATGTCTAAAATTAAAAATCCTCCATTTTGGAAATTCTCCTTTTTTATCTGGATAAGTGGTTGTCGCTATGGTTATTGTGATCGGTTCTGTGATTGGTCGATTAAGTCGAGTGGACTTAGTGTGATTGACTGCTTCAACTATCCGATTACAGCCAACTGTCCGATTACACTGTCCGATTACAGCTATACCGAATGATAAATGAAAAATAAAGCAGCTAATGCACCAATCACATTTAAGGAAATTGTAATGGTTATGATTAATAATGGTAATTGAACTGAGTGGAGTGCAATTTGGGCTAAAATCATAAGCGTGAAATCACAAGTATGATTTCAGACCAAAATTGCACGACACGAGGTTCAATTACCACTTTATTACATCCATTTTGAAATCGCCCAAATACAGGACTTGGTCAGTTCAAACATTTTATTGATGCAGTACTGAGCGGGTCAGAAATTAAATTTATCCATTTTTCGGGGGGAAAAAAGTAAGACTTTTGGAAACAAAAGTTGTAAAATTTGCCACATAATACTCTTTGTCTTTCATTTTTCTGCAATTTGATCAGTTACTTTAAACAAGTCTTGAAATCTGATTGGTCGTTTTGTTTTTAGTTAGCCCCCTCGTTGGCTGGGAAAAAGATAAGATTTAAAGTAAAAAATCGTGCGATTCATGAATAAATCACATCAATTCCAGCCAATCAGATTACAGGGACCACTAGTGATTTAAAAATGGGTGTAGTAAATAATGGTAACAGGACCGAGTGGAGTCAAATTCGGTCTGTAATCATACTCCTGATTAACAAAATCGGACGACCGCTAAGCGGGAGTCCGATTTGTTAATCACGAGTATGACTACAGTCAGAATTGGACGAAACGAAGTCCTGTTACCAATTAATCAAAACTATGACAAAAATTGAGAAAGAAACTAAACATCAGGTATACGTTTTCATAAGAAAAAAACAACAGTTAACTCGGCGAAATAAGAGACAACAGCGTGCGCACATGACACGTTCTGTCCACTCACACAGGTATAACGTGTCAACTGACCCTTTAACTGTCCTATTACACTGTCCAATTACAAGCATGACGCGTACACTGTCCTATCAGTGCTCAAATCGGGCTGGTGATAACAAATCACGTTCGAGAATTTTGTTATAGCTTTGATTTAAGGTGTAAGTCTCAGACAGCTTAAAAGAAAGAGGTCCTGAACGCATTAAATTAAAAATTAAAAATTGTTTTCCTGATCGGGAATTCGACATAGAATAAACCTAAAAACGAGCCTAAAGGGAATCGAAAATATATTAATATAGACCGGCCTGACTTTTATCAGAGCGATTTATATTCCTCCAGATCATCCTAATTAACATGATTGGAATATAGCTTATCGCAAGATTATTGAAATATTCTACTTCAAATTCTGGTTACTGAAACTGGAAACTGATCATCTGTCCACAAGTCAAATTCACGATAGGAGAGTATAAACCTCACAGAGAGAAAAGATAACGATTACTCTACTCGTAAAGTTCTATATTTGCTGAATGGCTTTTGATAATATATTATTTCCGTTCACTTTCTAACACTTAAATGAGTTAAAAACACATATACAGAAAATTCGTGTTCGATGCTAAGTTTGTCTTTTAACAGAGTCCATCAGTCAATCAGACTCAGAGTGTTTCAAGAGAAGGGAATTTTCTGTAAGTTGAATTGCATCAGCTAATTTCCCCCGCAACTGCGACGCAACATACTAAGGGGTGGGGGGGGGGGGGTTAACTATGTTGCGTCGCAATGGTTGGTAAATTAGCTGCAGAGCGAGTCATGCTTAGCGAAAGGCACCAAGGACTCTCAACCTGTCCTTCATCAGTCTTCTTTAATCTTTTTTCTTAGATAAAATTCTACTTACAGCAAATTCATTTCTCTCGCTTTTCTTCGACCACTCTTCGTAACTCTGGTTGACTCTCTCTCTTTAAATCAGACCAACCGACTACGAACTCTGTGGTACACAAATGAACATCAACCTACGCAATGCTTCCGTTCAAACAATGACTCTTTGACTGCCAAAGCCAAAACAAGAACTTAGTGTGCGTCCAAGGTAAGGTAAATAGCCCGAAGAGGACATGTTCACAGATGGAACTTAGGCACAAAAAGGCACAATCAGAAAACTCATCGAGATAGCTGAACCCGATTAACCTTGGACTTTGAATTCAAATATTTCCTAAATGCTTGATAAGAAAAAAAAATTGCTAAAATTATAACTGAGTACTTTACAGCACACGCTTTTCGGGCTGGTCAACCAGTCATCGTGTGTTTCGTACGCTCTGCTAAAGTTTCTGTCAACCAAAGGACGTTTAAATGCTTTCGCGTATAATCAACCATATAACTCAATATATAAACGAGAAAGAGTTCCAAGTTGTATAGTAATTTATTTTTGTTGTAAAATACTTTCATCGCACTTTATCCAGTCCAAGATAATTCAATTCATTATACTATGCTTCCTTCGCGAATTAACAGCACTTTAGACTAGATTTCAATTTTTACACCTAGCTGGCTCATACAGATACATCGGTTTCACTTCAGCAATGATGTACCAGATTCACGCTGCGAAAGATTGAAGAGCAGATTTAACGAAGCTTAAAAGTTCAGGCAAAACTGCATAAGTTCTTTACGCAATAATGTAGACATATCCGGAGCCCGTTTCTCGAAAGTCCCAATTGTTACTGGTCCCGAAAAGCTCTTTGCTGTTTGCCATGTTGACATTAGGGATTAGGATCTTGAGAGTCTTGAAAGTTTTTTAAGAAATAAAACTATATGGAAACAAAACCTAGGAGACTGGTTTGTGAGCTAAGATATGCACCACTATTACTTCAAATTTAGATTTTAAAATACGACTCCGGCTCTGTGAAGTGACCGTGACTTTCGAGAAACGGGCCTACGTTGAAGAGGGAAAGATTCCTGTCGCACACCGTTAATAGTTTCATCTCCGTGTAGGATGAGAAATTTTCATCAGGTCATTCGTCAAGTCCTGTATCGATCAGTAACAGAACGAGAAAAGACAGCCAACTGCGAGAGACGCTCCATTTTTTGTGTGGACAAGTGAAAACAGCCGCTTTCATCTGCATATCGGCGTTTTAGAGAGGACGATAGGTGAAAGCGCATCAAGTCGTTACCAAACGGAAACCGAGTAGCGTGGATGGGTGAAAGAAAAACGAAAGCGCCTGTCTGTCCAAAGATATTTTGAGTCCTTTCGGTTTGGGACTGAGAGGGATTCTTTTCAAACGAATTAGTGTTGTGGGAGACTTGGTTATACTGTATGCTTACTATTGGACATGTAGGACTGTAGTCTTATTTCGTTATATAATAGCCCATTCTTTTGAACCTTCAGAATAACTGAGATCCGCTGATACTGTATTCCTATCTTAACACCTGACCTAGCTGAGCTTCTGTTGTCTTACTAGAATAGTGCTTATGGGTCGCGTTTGTTTGTTCGAAGTAAGATAGACATAGCTGCGCAAACATTTTCATAGGCTTATTCCACCATTAGTGTCAACCGGGTTTTGAAGAAACCGGTTTAACGTATTCTACATGTATCTGTAAGTTGATCGACCGTGACCATTCTTGAGGAACCGCACTGAGTTATCTTGGAACAATTTTGCTCAGCATTTGTCATGCAGAATTGCAGTAATTTTTGTCAAAGGCAGTCTCCTAGGAAGTCCACGACTTCAGAGAGTTCTCTTTTTTTGGCTTCGTGATGTGCCCATCTTTCTTCTGCAAGTTTCGGTGTTACTTTCCAACGATCATGATAAATGACTTGTTTACATGCTGGACATTTCTTTCCTCCTGTAAAAAAAATTAGTGAACGATCATGAAAAACAAGTGAATATTAAAAGAGAGTGAAGTGAATTTGAAAATATATTGAATTTGATGCTAAGAAAGTGTTCTTTTAGTTGATGGGGCGGGATTGGCAATGAAAAACTACTCTGCAACATCTCTTTGAGAGGATAAAAACATGTGCTGTGTTTCCCTTCCAAGTTTTAATGAACTTCTTAAAAAAATGTCAAACTCAATCATTACTTTAAGTCAAACAAAACAATTATCAGAGCAGCTGTTTTCATTTTAATTTCTTCTAAATCTTTTCTCATGAATTGTTTGCTAGAGTTGTGCTGAGATCCTAAATCAAATAGCCCTGCCTACTTTTCCCTAGTGCAGAAATCCTGCAGTACTGTAGGCTGTCAAATAATGACTTTACTTCTCTTAAAAGTTTGTCAAACAAGAGGCATCCTACCTTGAAAAGGAGGTGTTTTCATGTATTTGTCCAGACATCCATAATGAAATAGATGATTGCAGTAAACACGCTCAACATACTGATGATCTGTGGGTTCTGTAACAGCTTCCTGTGAAGAGTAAGAATGCTTTGCTTAATTATTATAACACAAGGATACAGATCTTTACCATCAGCAAGAGGCAACCTGGAATAAGCACTGCACTCACACCAACAGGTGAAAATGTAAAATAACTCTTTTGAAATACATGTTAGTTACATTTCCCCTGGAAAACAATATAGATCTCACTCCCTATAAAGTGGATCTTTAGAAGGAGAACTTTCAAAGAAAATTATGTAAACATTCCTTGCAAATGAAGTTTGAATATGTAATACTCTTCAGGTAATCAAGTATTGCCAGCCTTAAATAAGGGGCTTCATAAGCTCTCTGAAAAAAATTCATTCATCTTCATGGTGCTTCATGCATGCGAGTGATGCAGTTTGGAGTTTGAAGAGTGCACATCTTCCTATCTTGAGATTACCTTTGGTTCTTCAGGGAGAGCTTTTTTTTGACATATAGGGCATCTCTCCTTAGGACATGGTCTGGCACACTGATCAACTAGGAAATCACACACTAGCTTCAATGATGGCTTTGGTTCAAATGGTGGATCTCTGGAAATAGAAAAGTTACCATCACTAATGTTTTACTTTTCATCACCAGATACATGTATATGTTCCTTAAATTTACATAAAAGTTATGCCTATTGGAAAATAGGTCTGACCGACAACAAATGGGTCTGAAAATTCCAAGATCTTTCTTGAAAAGAAAGATCTTAGAATTAGTACCCAAGTGAAGTTTAGAGAGTTTGTGAAGAAACAATATCTTCTACAATTAAAAGCTTAATAATTCAGCTTTTAAGTCAGGCTTAACATACTTTGGTTTACGTCGCAATGGTGCCTCAACACATGTTCTTGCCATGTCAACAGCTTGACCAATAAATACTCTGACCAAATTCTCAGGAAAGTTTGAATCTTTCAGGTCTATCCTGTAAAAAAAAATCATGAGAAAATGATTTGCCTGGTTTTTAATGGGCAGAGGGGCTATGTGTTTAAACAAAGTTACTCTAAGACTTGTTTCTTTGTTTCAAACATATGCAGGAAGGTTTTTAAGTTTAGGGCATGAACTAGGCTAGCATGAACCTGGATATTGACTATATCTGGAGCCCAGTCTGACAATAATTGACCCATCTCATTGAAGACAAAGGTAAGACTCACTTCTCAATGATACACATATTCCAGCAAGAGGCTAATTTATTCAAACTGAAACATTCCACATACTTTATAGCAGAAGTGTGATAGTCATCAGGAACAGTTATCTTCACATCCAGATAATATCTAGGGGTAAATAATTTTAACAAAACACTACTGTAGAATATTTGCAGTTAAAATCCAAATACACTAAGTGGAGTATAAATACATATTTCACATTAATTCAGTACAAATTTTCTGTGATATTTGGATAGTTGGTTAATTTGCACTGTAAAAAAAACTTGTTTGACTGGTTTGCTATGTGTGCCTTAAAATTGCCTCAAAGGAGAAATGCTACTTACTTGTCTTGATTTATATGTATGTTGAGCACTCCAGCTTTCTGTTTTATTTTCAGTTCATCACTATCTGATAGTAACTTTGACTTGATATACTGCAGCTCATCAGAGCATGCAATCAAAGGATTCTCATCAAGAAATCTCCTCACAAATATAAGCATAGGGATAACCTGAAAGAAATTTTGCTCTACAATCAATAATATCTACAGCCAAAGACATTAATGAGTTGTTAGTCGTAGCCTATTCTGTCTGATAAGCTCCCTTCTCATAAATTTCCTCCCCTGTCATATTTAAAAGGCCCTTAAAGCATGCTCTAATAAACCCTGTGGTGGCTTCTATTTAACAGCTCATGGCACATTTTCCTCTTGTTTTGGTCTGTTGTGTCTCTGCAATGTAAATTTATTTATTATAGGATTTCTGAAACATTTGTGTATGAAATGATAGCAAATGTTTTCACCTTGCATATTCAGTACTGCTCAAATGTAAGTTCACAGTGTTCACTCGATACTTGATCCTCGATAATCGAAGCAATTGAGAATTGAGGAGTGAGACGCTCAAAGAACTTTTTTAAGATCTCAAACTCCAGTATCAAGAAAACAATTTAATTTTTGCATGCAAAGCAATAGCGAGGGACAAAGCACTTGACATGCAGCTCTTCTTTAAACACACAGACAGCTTGCAGACATGCAAATATTTTCCTATCACGCATAAAAAAGGAAACAAACACATTTTTACTGAAGTTATCATCTACAGCTGTAAGCATTCGATGATAATTTGATTCCCTTTATCCTGTTGACCATGCTTCTTACTGATTGCAGCTAATGTTTGAAAAAATTGAATATTTATGGTTTGTTCTGAATTATTGGAAGGAATTCTATTTTTCCTTTAATGTAAAATATGTCTAACTAAATATCCCTTCCCCAAAAATTTAAATTAAAATTTCAACAAAAACCAGGAAAGTGACTTAATACTACATATACAATGTTGGTAAGATCAAGGTTCCAAACACTCGTGTGATAATCTTCCAAACACTCGTGTGATAATCTTCCAAAACTAAATGCTGGCTGGAGACAACACCACTTACCTGAGGCTTACCCAAGAATTTCTTAGCCTCCTGATCACAAAGTTCCATCATTTTAGACAACAGCCTTGGGGGCAAAGTTTTGCTTTTCAGTTCTACTAGAATGCCATTGTTGGGATATTGCTCAGGAAATTGAAGCAGGACGATTACATTCTTGAATTTCGTTCTCCTGATGGACAGACAAGTAAGAGCTCGTATTAACTGGGCAACTCCCCAATTGAACCCTAAGTACCCTAGAGACCCCATCTTTTATTCCCAATGAATTTTTGTGACCGTAAAAAAGGAACATTCTCTTACGTGATTCGAACATTGACAGCAACCGGATGACAAGAAATAATCTCAGATCCCTCCACTTTTTCGCTCAGTGTCTTCTTCACAATTTCTAGTTCATTTTCAATGGCCTTCTGCGTCTCAGGATCAGAAACCAAAGCCATTTTATAAACAAAATACTTCGAAACACCGGCATGAAAAATGTTGGTAAACTTTCACTATATAAATTGTGCCCAATCCTTTTCAGCGAAACCCGTGAGCCCGCGTCCTAGCAAATATCACCGCTGACATTGGCTGAGGGTTTTAATAAATTTATTTCTCGTTGGTTAGATGGTTATTGTTTGCTTTTTTAAACTCAGTTAGAACTCTGGAACCTATTATGGCTGCTGTTATTGGAATAGGTTTGCGTGGTTTGTGTGGCTTACGCCAAACTGTAGGTCGTCAAGTCGCTGTTGGGACATGGCTCCACAGTCAAAAGCTATCCACTTCACCTATCTCAGGTCAGGCTACAGGATCACCGAAGATTTACGAGATGCGCACGTACTACGTGAAACCTAAAGCTTTTGGTAAGGAAAGAAGTAATTCGTCATGATCTCATGTGCAATATTCTTGAAGGGTGACCCTGGGAAATATAGAGGCATTGGAATTAATGGACAAAGTTTGACCTTTTGTGAAGGTAGCACTTAAGGGTTTTCCTCTGATTTTGGGAATGGTACTTTGATATCTATAATACATTCCTTTCAAATCTGACCCACAAAGTGTAAAACTTCTGTGACGCCAGGTAAAATCAACCTACAATCAATCCTCTTCTATTAGCTGTTACCATATTTGTAGAAGTGTTTTGATTCCCCAGATGAAAGAGGGAAGGTTTCTCTTAGGAATTCTAGGTGGGCGTGTGCAGCCCCAATTATCCTAATTCAGACCCATTGTCGGACCAAAAATTACCTGTATAATCTTTAGCTATTCTCACACCAGCCTTCAGAAATATGCATTTGATTTGCAGTTACCACGAGGTCAAGAAGTTGTGAATTCACCCGAAAATTCAGCTTCAGTGAATGATGTGTTTGATTACAACGCTTTCTGTATCATTCATCTGGCGTAGAAAATGCAAATAGGTCTATATACTCTCTTGGTCACAGTTGAGTGGGACACATGCTTTTACAATGGACTTGACTGTGTGTAATGGAGTACTGGCCCTCCTATGCATCAGCTTTTTAAGGCTTCATTGCTATGGATATATCTAAAGTTTTATTGTGTTACCATGTCAAGTGGTGAAACTCCTTCCCTTTCATTTACTGTTTTTGATTTAAAGTTTACCAAAGAGTGGCTGGTTTTTGAGATAAGACAGATAACAAAAATATCTTCTCTATAAGTGACTTTTTTTCCTTGTATTGCAGCTGAGTTCATGCAGTTAACATATGATTACATACATCTAAAGGCTGACAGTAATTCAAAATTGAATGGCTACTGGACAAGTGATATTGGTGGGCTAAATGAGGTCACACACATTTGGGAATATGGTAATTTTAGTTAGTCACAAATCACTTGTCTCTAATTGCAAGGGTTGTAATGAACATAGTTTTGTATTTGGATTGCTTCTAAATTTCCCTTTGTTATTCTTAAATGTGCCATGCTTCTTCTCCCATTTCCATGAATGCCTGTCCAGATAATTTTTCAGTTCCTTGCAATGATGTTGATGATCCCCTAGGAGCCATCCTAAAAATGACATCCAGTGTCCCTTCTTACTGAGTGTCTTAAAACTTTATCAAAATTGAAAGTTACAATGATGGAGGACAACACCATGCATTAAGAGGAAGGTTAAGGAGACTATAGAGATCAATAGGAGATATCCATGAATTAAGAAAGACAAGGGGCTTGAGCTTCTTAAGATTTACAGCACTATACTCCCATGGGAGGACCTTGCTGAGCTAGTAAGCTTGTGATTACATAATTTAATACTCTATGACCACTCACATTCCAACAGACTGATGAAAGCTGAGCAACTCAGACAAATATATCCAGGAAAATCAGTCAATTGCTTTACCAAAATTGATGACAATGGCCAATTTTAAAAATGCAAATACTAAAAGTGGCCAGCAAGATCTCAAGCCTCTTCAACTGATATGGTGATATAAAGAATCTATACCTCTCAGTTAGTGTTTTAGGGAAAAACCAAATTAAATGCAACCCTGTTTTACTTTCTACACTCAACTTAAAATTACTTTACTGTGAGGATTCTCATGATATGGTATGATATTTAGCTAACTGAATATTATTTCTTAGACAGCTACACAGAGAAGATGGAGGCACAAAAATCTCTTTTGCAAGATGAAACCTGGGTCAATAACTACAGAAAGAAAATACTAAAGATGTTGGTTAAGCAGGTACAACCCTCATTATCTGAAATAATTTTGAGAGACATTTTATTTTTTTCATAAAATAACTTTATTCTCTCTGCCTGTAGGGCTGACAGATTTTTGAGTAACCTTCCTTTTTACAGAATATATACTTAAAAGGAAATCTGCCTGATGGCATATGAACAGTATATCAAATGTTTTTTTGCATTTGGTTTTTAGGATAACCTGGTGATGAATCCTTTCCCTTGGTTTGATGTGAAACCACCACTTTCAATAGGGGGTGAGTGATGTTTTATGTTATTTTACAACTGAAATAAGTTACTGTGGTAACCATAATCATAAATGGATCATTTTTTGTTAAAAAAAAACAGGGTGGAAAAGTGAAAATAGTGCAAGAAATAGTAGTTGACCCTTCAACTCCCGCGAGTGACCAAAACAGAGCTTCTCCTTACATTATCAATCCAATGCCCGGCAGACAAGTGATGACAATAAAAATATCAAGAAGGGGATCAGTAGTTGATCCATTACACAATTCTCCAAACTCACTTTATAATAATTGTATGACATACATTAAGGAGAATTACTTATGAGATCTTGGGAATGAAAGGGTGAAAAAGATAGTTAAAATTTAATAGAAAAGATGGGAAATAAATTGATCATGAATTTTTGAAGGCCCCACTGAAAATTGCCTCAGTGGGTGGGCTCCTTGTCAAAAATTATAGATATAGTTATTTATTATTACTATTATTACTGTTATTATTACTATTATTATCCTTATCAGTATAGTTATTTTATATATAGTTTCTTTCTTATTTTTACATTTTTAATTATCTGTTGGTAGGTGCAGTTATACTATTAAAATAATATTGTTAATTTAAATGTCAACCATAGTGTTTCTGTACCAAGGATGCTACACATGGCAATGTTTAATCAATAGACCTGTGTGCTTGTTGAAGACCTTTAGTGAAGCTGTTGAAATGTCATGATCATTAACTAAATGTGACTCTATAGAATATTGTGATTGCTCAACCTAATGGAGTAACTTTTATCTCTGTTTATTTAATAATTGAGCTGAGATGAACATTGAAAAACTTGGTAATGTTACCTTCACAGTTTCTGTTTCATGAAATAAATGAAATACAATTTTACATTAATTTTAGGTGTTTATGAACTACGCATGTATGATTTAATCCTTGGAAAAAAAGAGCAGTGGGAACACAGGTTCATTCAGGGATTTTTTGAGAGATGCAAGCTCTCTGAACCTGTTGGTGTCTGGTTTACAGAATTTGGTCCTATAAACAGAGGTACTGTCACAAGTCATCATTCCTAATCACAATAACATAAAGCTTGAAGCCATTTTAAACTAGTTTGCCACAGCAATCTTGGAGCTGATTTCGTTTTTTTTTTTTAGTCTCAACCTGTTTTGTTTTGCTTTTTGTTTTGACTGTTCAGTTGTCATGTTGTGGCCCTACCAAAGCCTTGATGATCGTACTAAGATACGTAAGGAAGCACAAGGACTTGAGGAATGGGTTGAAGCAAGTAAGGCCAACATGTTGTCAAATAATTTTGTTTCTGTAAGTTAATGGTGGGTGTTTAGCCAAACCTTCATATGATTTTTAAGTCAAAGAAAGTTGCTACAACTATCCAATTCCTCAACACCTAAGGCAAAGAAAAACTCCAAAAAAGCGTCTTGAAGTGGAAACCACTTTGTGAGGAATCTAGACATTTTCCCTTGGCAAAGAGTCTTGAGAGTTTTAAAATCAATTTCCTAAATTCCTTGACATGGACATCTGAATGAAGAAACTGAATGAAGAAATTGATAAGGAAACTATTGACATAGTTTGTAGGTATTTGAAGCAATGTTAACTAATTAAAAGGAAGGCATGAAGGTGTGAATAAATAAAAATTTCTTACTTTTCTTTTTTCTTAGTACGAGACTGCTCTTCCTTTTTAGCGAAAGGAGATAACAAAGTTCTTGTTCCAACTGAGTTCTCTCCATGGAAGTAACAGACAGGTGGACATTTAATTGTATTTGGAATTTAGTACTAAAGAGCTGTGCATGATTTTTCTCTTTTTAGTTCGTGACTGCCTTCCCTTTGAAAAAAAAGCGTTTTCTAAGGTTCTTATTCCAACACAATTTTCTCCGTGGAAATAGATTAGAGGTATACCTGTCTTTATTGCTTTTTAGAAAACAGAGGTAATTAAGATTCAAAAGAGAGGCTTCACCGAAGCATTCACCATTTACGTAATGGTAGAGTTGATTTAATGGACTTCCACGCAAGCTAAAGGAAAAAAAGGAAGCGGGTGTACACTTTTGCATGAATTGTAAGGAGGAATTATGTTTTGGTCACTCATGGGAATTAAAGGCTCCACATTGGTTATCTCTCTTACTTTATATTTCTTGGAATACATGGGCTTAAATAGGTTTCTTTTTTTTCGTGGAGAAGTGTTAATCTTCATAATTTGCAATAGTAAATATTGTAGGATGCGTTAAACTCATCAATCTTTGTCTTTCTGTCTAGGTCTAGCCTGAAGCTAAAAGCTGACGAAGGTAGAAAGTTGCCTGAATGAATGGTTCAGTAAAAAAATTGTATTGCATGGTAACTCTTGGATGGCGTACAAACTCCCAAGAAAATAAAAGTCTTGACCGACTAGGATATTTTTGAAAATAGAGTTGTTTGAAGAGTATGATTCGCTGGTGGAACTAAAGATGCTGGTAAACTAGGAATGAGTTTTTAAACGACAGGGAAATGCAAACCCAGGCAATTTTACGGAAAAGACTTTCAATAATATCATGTGTACGTTATATCAAGCAATATTAATAACTAGTGAGTTTCAAATTTCCAAAAAACATAAACAATTTTTTCAGTAATTGTAAATATCTAAGTCCAAGCGATTTTCTCTTGCTAAGTCTGACTCAGCAACATTTAGCGAGCTTTTATGAATAGTTTAGTATGGAAAGTAGGCGGAATGATTTGGACTGGCCGTTGTTGTTCATATTTTTTTAAGCAAATGGTGAAAAGAATTAAGAGCAAATTGCTGCAGTTACTCTCTTCATTTTGTAGAAGTATATATAAAATAACTTAATTGCTCATACTTTTGTTTCACAGTCATATCCAGCATGTCTGGATTTATACTTTTGCGTATCACATTTTCTGAACCTAGCAAATAACAAAAACTAGAAGAGCTGCATTAGGAACATATTTGTTGATGAAAATGGTCAAAGCACAACACCAACTGAAATACTGACGGAAATCGAAAACTCCTATTCTAAACTTTGCAAGGAAAATTCACTTACTTTTGGTGATTCTATGAACTTTCTTGATGGAGTAAACAATACCAAACATAGTTTTTAGATAAAATAAACTCAATCGAGTTGAATTGTTCAAGGAAAACAAAACACCAGGAAATGATGGCCCAACCTCTGAATTTTACTTACCCCGGCTTATGGCATCTTTTGGAAAATCATCTCATAGAATCTTTACACTGTCCCATGTTCATGATCAACTCTGTTCTTCTCAGAAACGAGCATTTGTGATTATTGGTGCCCTTTCTCACCAACAAATGTCGATGTGAGAATAGTTTTAAAAGCCTTGCTAAGAGGCTCGAACCGTTTCTCTCCGAAATTATTTATTACAATCAAATTGCATTTGTGAAATGAAGATCTGTGTTAATTTGATGCAGCGTGGACCACCCGGGATAGTTTGGAAGTGAAAAATATCTCTGGAATCTTGGTTTCCATCGATTTTGAAAAAGCATATGATTCTGTTGCCCATGATTTTCTATTCAAAGTTTAAGAAAATTTAACTTTGGATCGTATTTTATGCAGTGGATAAGAACCTTTTAAACAGATAAATCAAGTTGTATCATGAATAACGGTTTCAGCACAATTTCTCTCTTTTACAGAGCGTAGGGTTCGTCGTGATCCTCTCTCACCTTTGTTTTTTTATCTTGGGCCTGAAAATTCCCGCGCGTTAAATTAGACAAGATAAAAGTATGGAAGGAATAAGAATTTAACTGCATTCGCTGATGATATGACCAGTTTTTTAAATATATGCTTGCTCTTGTGTGCGGCTGTTTACGTGTCTAGAGGCATTTTTAAGATTTTCTGGTAAACAAAGTAAAAAAAAAATCCTTGAAACAGCGGTGAAAGGATACCTACCTCAAGCATGTGGAGAATTCCATGGGCGGCCGTCACCACCAAAAATACAAGGATGTCAAATAGATCAGCAAATACAAAGCTGGTCTAAGGATCGGCTGCAGGACGGTTTAGTTTTCCTTCACGAAACAGAACACCCTAAACATGAATAGTTTAGCCAAATGATAACCGGTCTAGTTGCGAGTTGGAACATGAAATTGTGAAATGGACTAGCTCGATTGCGAATAGCTTAGCACTCATTTGCAATACAGTACACAAACGGTGTAGCGTTGCGTCAAATGGCTCAGCGCAATGTCGAATAGCACAGTGCATAAACCAAACGGTGTAGCGTTGCTTGAAATGGCTCAGGGTAATGTCGAATTGTACAGCGTACACACAAACGGTGTAGCGTTACGTCGAATAGTTTTGCAGAACATCAGACGCTCTAGCTCAATATTAAATTGCTTAGCATTACATGCATTAATTGGTTTGCCGAATAAAGTGTTTGCAATTAAAGCATTCCGATATCACTTTGATTGAAAAATGTCACAACAGATCAAGAATATCAGTTTTGACACTTTTCAATCAAAGTGATATCGGAATGCTTTGATTGGTGTGCCAAAAATAGTGTTTGCAATTAAAGCATTCCGATATCACTTTGATTGAAAAATGTCAAAACAGATCAAGGATGTCAGTTTTCTTACCATTGCGTCCAACTCTGCACACAAAAGCACACACAAAATCCCACTTCTCACGTATTCCTGTAATATTGAAAGAGCCGTTGAAGTTAAACTCTCATTGAAAAGTAAGCGCGAGTCAGAAAAGAGAAAAGAGCTCGACAAACGACATTTAATGCACGTCATTATATAAACATTTAGGCTAACCGACGGGTGCGAACTGTCGTAAACGAAGTTTTCCTTCAATTCAGTTTTCCTTCAATTCAACTCTACACAAAAATTGTGTAGAGTTGCGTGAAATGGCTCAGCGTAATGTCGAATAGTACAGCGTACACACAAATAGTGTAGCGTTACGTGGAATAGCTTTGCAGAACATCAGACGCTCTATCTGAACATTAAATTGCTTAGTATTACTTGAAATATTTCGATGTTGTGGCAAATCGTCGAGCTTGCTTGTGGCGTGACGTGAAGGCCATGCCCTTAAACCATCTTTGTATTTACTTATCTATTTGACATCCTTGTATTTTTGTGGTGACGGCCGCCAAGGCTATCGCGCCGAAACCACCAAAAATACAAACCGCAAATGGAACAGCGATCTTCTGGGGGCATGATGTCATCGAATGTGAAGACTGCCGCGAAACCATCACATGGCGTAGTCACTGTGTTGAATAGTCTTCACTTCGCTTTGTTGTAAAGCAGAGCCAATTCGGAAAGTTTTTCCCTTTTTTTCCCTGCCGATATTGCATTTATTCGTTGTCGTTCATGAAAGCATCAATTACAATAGTAAGGAGACTGAATTCTACCACGGTTGCCGGCCTACCGGTTTACCCGCGTTGGTGGGCCTGAATATGTTTATATTATTAAGTAGAGTTATGACGTGCATTAAATGTCGATTGTCGAGCTCTCTTTTCTATCTCTGACTCACGCTTACTTTTCAACGAGAATTCCACTTCAAAGGCTCTTTGAACATTGGAGGAGTACGTGAGAAGTTTAATTTTGTGTGTGCCCTGAACGCCATGGTAAGAAAACTGATATCTTTGATCTGTTTTGACATTTTTCAATCAAACTGAGTGATATCGGAATGCTTTTAATTGGTGTGTGGACGATAAAACCAACTCGGAAAAAAGGTTGCTTTGGCAAACACTACATGTTGAGATTCATGTTGTTCTGCTGGGCCCATTGCGAAATGCGGTCGATGTCGTTCTGTAAAGATGACACCTCCCCCAAACTGGAAACCTCGGATATTGTTATGTCATCGACGTACTTCCAGTGGCTCGAGCGGAGGGGGGAGTGGGTAGCCAGGTCGTTGATCATTATCAGAAAAAGGATTGGACCCAATTTTGTGCCCTGGGGGACACGGCATGTACGGGCATCCACTCTGAGATGGAGTCTAAGAGCTTAACAGCCTGGCGACGACCACTGAGGAAGCTACAAATCCAACTAATCAACCAGCCTCTAACACCTAGATGGATTAGCTTGGTCACCAAGATGGTATGGTCAATGTGATCAAATACTTTGCTAAAGTCCAGAAAGCACACACGGAGGAACTTGCCAGGGCAGTCAAGGGACGACAGCCAATTGTGCAGCAAGTCCAATAGGCAGTAGGTTGTAGAAGTACCTTTAAGGCTGCCAAACTGTGGAGGATCAATATGATGTTTAACGTCATCTATCAGCCACTCGACAAAGAAGTCTTCAAGCACCTTAGAGAGCACTGGAGTCTAGGCGATAGGTCGCCCGTCCCCGTCACCCGTAAGCAGGAAGGGCGGCGGTGTCAAGTGGTTGGATATCAGATGTAATAGATATGAAATAGCTGTTCAGACGAGTGGCAAGGGTTTTACCTGAGATAATGTTGCCATGTTCGTCAGGATAGCATAACTCGGAATCGGTAGAAGATTTGCCAGCAAGCTTGCTCACCAGGCTCCACCAGCTTCTAGGGTCTGAGGTTTTGAGACTCATCACCTTGCGGGCGAAGAATTCCTTCTTGCGCTTACAGATTGCTATGCGCATTTTATTCCTGAGGAGTCGCCATCTATCGTTAGACCCAGAATGATATGCGCGCTGCCGCTCCAGGATTAATGATTTAATTTCAGCAGACATCCAGGGTTTGTCAGTCGGATGTAGTTTGACACTCTTCGCCGGGAAGTAGATGTTGATCGCGTTGCAGAGGTCGTCAGAAAACGACGATGTCAGACTGTCCACCGATAAGGAATCAGCTGCGCACGTGTGTGCAAACCAGCTATGTACACTAACCCATCTCCCAAAGGCGTTGAGTGCCGACACTGGAAAGCGACGCATTTTAACTACCTTTTCTTAGCCGTCAGGTTGTTGGAGCCATGGTTGGAATTGGGTACCCAGTAAACTGAACGGTGGTCAGAAGACCCTAAGTGCGCGCTTACAACAGGCTTGTTATAATAAGAAGCTAGGTTTAATATCACTAAGTCTAAAACATTATTACCCCTAGTAGGATCGCGGACAAACTGTTTTAAGGTGTGGTTTGCTAAAATGTTCATGACGTTCAGGGTGTTAAAATCACCTAAAGGTACTACCCCGCAGTCAGGGTGAGCGGACTTAACAGAGTCAATTCACTCGATGATATAACTAACACGAGTCCGTTGTAAGTCAGCGGGTGCTTCAGGGAAGTACATAGCACCACCGATGATGTCAGAGAGTGGACGAGGCAGGCGCGGAGGACGAAGCCACAGCCACATGCATTCATGATCTGGGGACTCCAGATCAGACCTCCTTTTGAAGGGGATGCTGGATGAAACAAAAGTGCAAACGCCATCTCCACGAGTCGGACGGTCTAGACGCTGTAGAACATAGCTCGGGATGGTGAGGACACTGTCGTTAATCCTATCATTAAACCATGACTCAGTGATGACTGCAATATCCATACGAGTAGATAGTAGCTGGGCAGTAAGCTCGTCAAACTTCTTTTCAAGAGAGCGTGCGTTGGCCAGGTAAAAACTGTAAGTCGTAACCTTTTTTCTCGACATGGCGAGAAAGTGGAATAGGCCTGAGATGACATCGCTTGGACTGATCTTCCCCAATGAATCCCGATCTTCTAATGAAAGAAGTACAAGGTCTCGTTGCGCTATTGCGTGACAGGAGGGTTACAATGCTTTATAATTTCGCGCAACTCTACACCATTTTTGTGTACGCTGTACCATTCGACATTACGCTGAGCCATTTCACGCAGCGCTATACCATTTGTGTTTACGCTGTACCATTCGACAATACGCTGAGCCATTTCACGCAACGCTACACTGTTTGTATGTATGCTATACCATTCTACATTACGCTGAGCTATTTCACGCAACGCTACACCGTTTGTGCGTACGCTGTGCTACTCGACAACCTTTGCCATTTGACGCAACGCAACACCGTTTGTGTACTATATTACAGGGGGGTTAAGCTATTCGCAATTGAGCCAGTCCATTTCACAATTTCATGTTCCAACTCAACATGGACAACTAGACCGTTTATCATTTGGCTGAACCATCCATGTTTTTGGGGTGTTCTGTTTCACGAAGGAAAACTAACCGTCTATAATTTGGCCATGCCATTCCTTTATTAGCTATTCTATCCTGCAGCTGATCTTTAGACGAGCTTTGTATTTGCTGATCTATTTGACATCCTTGTATTTTTGGTGGTGACGGCCGCCCATAGAGGCCTGTTGCAAATTGACCAATCACCGTTGTGAATTTTTGTGCGTGTGTGCGTTAATTTTTGTAGTCACTCATCTTAAACAGCTTGAGGAAAGAAAAGTAGAAGCTAATCGATTCTTCGCCACAGCTGCTATTTTGTAGAACTCCATTCCAGCATATAATCCGTAGGAACTTTCAGCCGTCTTGCGCAGGAAGATAATGGCCGACCCTGGGAAGAAGTAAGTAATACTTGTCAACATTTTTATTGAATTACTACGTCACAGCAAGTTCTTATTTACGATTAGCGTGATTTCTTGAACTTAGGATAGACTGTTAGTTGTATGAAACATCTCAGATTACGTGGGTTTCCCATCCGGAGTTGATTCGACCTAGCTCTGTTCTGTTATCAAACAGTAGACTCGAGGTAATGAATTGCGGAAAACTTTATGCAAATGCATTTTCACTGAGATTGACGTTGAAATGAGTTGCAGCATAAGAAAGAAACTTTGCTGAGGTCTTATTTTCTTTCAAAATTAATTCACTTAAAGAAATCCTGGCCTTAGTTCTGAGCGCGTCTTTTCTCTTGGTCCTGATTTGGCGAATGCAGTTTTAAAGCATGTTTGAGCAAGATTTCCGTTTTGCCCGTTACTCGTTTAGGCACATTTTTCTTTATTAAGAAACGAGAAACAATAACGACGCAGTTGATTTCCTCTTGGAATGCGGCTCTTTTTGCGGTTTTTGATCCGTTTCCTTGATTTACAGACACGTTACTTCCAAAATGCATCGCTTGTTATCTGACCACTTTCTATGTAGAAAAGAACCCAATTAAGCGAGTTTTCCATTTTTAAAGCTTCGGCTGATGTCGTTAGATGAGGTAATTTTATTGAGAATTTGACTTATTTTTGGCCATGACTCTTTTGTCTGTTTCTCGTTCTTAAAGCGTCGTGAAGCATGAAGCTTATATCATTAATGCACTTCAAGTAAACAACAAAACATGCTCGAATGTACTTAAACATTTTAATGCCATTTCGTGTTTTACAGTCGAAGCTGCATTAAGCGGCGCCGTATTATGCGGTCATCCCGTATTAAGCGGTCAGTTGTCCCGAATTTGTTTTCCCATAAACAGTAACTTTTATTCCCAAAATCAAAGAAGTGAGATCAAAGTTGTAAAATCAAAGAGCGAGGTTCTGTGCATTAAGTGGTCAATTATGGCATAAGGTGGCGTTGTTTATCGATCTTTATAACACACCTTATCCGTGGAACCTATATCAAGCGGTCACCCCTTCATTCCCCGTGTTGTTGTTCTGTAAAGCCTGGTTTTCACTTGTGACGCGAGCATAAGCGCAAGCGCAAATGAAGCATAACTGCTCTTATTTCACCGTGAAAACGGCCTCAGTGCACACATTAAGACAAGCGCTCGCACAAGCGCCAGAATCAGAATTTTTCCCTTTTCTTGAACTAGTCCTTGTGCTTATCGACGTTCGTTTTCTCTTTGTAAATTTAACTTATGCGTGCGTTTGTGCTCACGCTTGTGCTTGCTTCGCTAATGAAAACCAAGCTTTACGCCATTGGTAACTGGAATACCTGATTACTGATTCCACGGGGTAAATTGTGCTTTAGATCTAATGCACTAGAGGAAGTAGAGCTGTAAATAACTTCTAAAGAACTACTGGTAGCAATTGACCACGGTAGGCACAGCCTTAAATTATGTGAAAAATAAAATGCTGCATTACATGTCTTATTTATGTGTAGCGAGATTCATGTTCGTATCGAACATGTGCTTGCGTCGCTCATGAAAACCACGCTTTACGCCGTTGGTAACTGGAATACTTGAGTACTGATTCCATGGGGTAAATTGTGCTTTAGATCTGATTCACCAGGGGAAGTGGAGCTGTCAGTAATTCCTGAAGAGCTAGTGGTTGTCGTTGACGGGAAGCCTCTGCCTTCCGAGCCTCCGAAGGGGCCATCACCAGGACTTGATATCGAGACTTCCGTAATAAATTGCGTTGATGATGCGGATCAGGTCGAGGGGGAAATTCCAGCTGGTTGTGGTATGTATGATCACAGAGAGTCCTATAGGGATTCATAATATCGTGCCTTGATTCATTATTGATCTACCTGTTAAAGAATTTTGAGGATACAGTCAGTTTGGTCTGTCTTGGATGCTACAGATATGAACTAAACGATTGGGTTGGGCTGGTGAGGAGGATAATCACCACAAAAAAGAAAAAGGCTCCAGAAGTTTACTCGGTATGCAATTGACACCCTTGTATAGCTTAAGTTAACGCCATTTTCAGCGGATCTGTACTGAGCTTGGCTTTTGTGGTCAATGCACGCATTTTGGCTTCCTATTGTCAATGTGTTGGACTAAGGACAAGAAAAAGCCTTGCACACCGTTTTTTTTGTGATTGGAAAAAAAATTGTATTACATCATGTCATGTCTTCACGATACTCGTTTTCTACGCCTTGCGTTTCCAACTGGTTGAATTAGATTCTTTGTTTGAGACAAAGCTCACCGGGAAAGTAATTTGCCATCTCTTCGTCGAGGAGTACGGTGACCAATGATTCCATTCTCATTTTCATTTCCGTAGAGGAAAAGCTCCTTTCTGCAAGCAAAAAATGCACAGAATTTTGTGATGAACTCAATTAACACGGTGGCTTTTAGTGGCTGTTGCCAATGATCTATAAGAGCGCAGATGCATGGTTTATCTCAAATAAGCTGTTTTGCCTCCACTTCAGCAAATGTAGTGCACAGTGTGACAACTGTTGCGATTCTTTTTCGGACAAAGCTTATTAGTAGCAATGTTGACATCGTCTGTGTCTGTTCTCTGATAGATGATAAGAAAAACTAATAAAAATGCTTGTACGACTAAACGTATTCCCACTTCTAGATAAACAATGGCGTCAAAATTTGGTTAAAAAAAAAAAGAAAAAAAATAACATACTCAAGCGCCTTTACTTTATGTGTTGCCTTTTTTTCGTTCTACCACATTTTGACGTCACTTGTGATCTACCTTTGTCTGAAAAAACACATAGCAAAATTTGATATAAATTTCCTTTCTATCATCTGTTTATAGAACCAGAGGACGAGCATGGGGGTATTGATGCTTCTACTCAACAATCTCAACGTGAAAGTAAGTGAACCAGGGCGTCAAGAAAGACATAAACACACGACGCAAATAAACAGACTCTTAAAACAATGTAATTGTGTTACAAAGTCAACATGCCTTCATTTCGTTTATTCAAAGCCTTTTCTTTCCCCCGAAGACTGTTCATCACATGGAAAACGAGGGCCACATTGAGAGGGTGGTGGGATTCAAACTTCTTTTTTGATGGTTGTTTAAATGAAAAATATCCATACTTGTGAATCGTTCTGGCGTGTGTCTGATTGTTTTACAGAAACAGAGAAGGATTTGGATGATGCTCTACGTAAGGGTGATTTCGATGATATTGATCAAAAAGTGACTCCAAAAACCCTGGCAAGGTGTAAAACTAATACCTTACTCAAATCTTTCCAGGTTGGTCTCGTAATTTTATCTTTACCTATTTTACCGGTTTACTTTACTTAAAGCTGTTTCGCTACTCTAAGTGAAAAATGTGATCCTTCATTCACTGTGGTTTTGTTTCACTACTCCATATGATTAGCACGTCATACGCATACCACTCTCTCAACTGATTAGCGCCAAAACTTTAACCAGGTGTAACTTCTTCACTGTCTGAGAGTTTATCACCCTTAAAGTATCACTGACTTGCAGTTATATCTTGTTTTCTTTCTTATTGGTCATCGAGGTTCCAGTGTACTAATTTGCAAAGGACAATTGAAAAACTCTCCTGCCATCTTCAACAACTGGAGGCTAACAAGAAATCAGAAACAATATCTGATTGATTTTTTAAGAGCCTTTTGATAAACAGCATCACTGTATCTCTATTTAAACATAGGTCAATAAAGCACTGCGAGATTTAGCACATGGTGTAAACCCGGAGAAATACGATATAGAACAGCTTGAAAAGTCTGTGGACGAGTTCATATCAGCCTTTATAGATCCTCTTAAAGCCGACGCCGATACCAGATATGCGTTTCAAATTTGTTTTGATGATGTGGTGGACAAGGCAATCGACACGAAGCAGAAGAAGGTACTACACGAGTGATAAAAAGGGTTTCTAATCAATACTTTTTTATATCCTTCACCCCCAAAGTCGACTCTAGCGGGAATACTGTCACCCATCTGATTACATAGGTGCCCCCTGCCTTTACGTGCAGTGTAAGAGAGGAAAAAAGAGAGACAATTAACATCGTTATATACCTAGACTTTCACTCAACAAAACGGGCACTGTAATTTGTTGATTCTTGGTCACGTGCCCCGAGTCAAAAGTAAACAAAAACCTTTAACAGAGGTTTATTTCATCTTTATACTCAGTTTTTCTGCGAGGTTCAATAAGGACTTTTCAACAATTCAGTTTTAAAGCTTTGACATATCAATCGTTAGCGAACTGACATATTGGACCTAGGCGAACCGACTCTAGACGTAGGCGAACAGATCATAGGCGAAAAGACCCGCAAGCGAAACGACGGGTTACCCAGGATACAATTGCACAGCAAAAACGGCATGTTTTGGCCATATGATTATTTAAGGGAAAGTATAAATATGTAAGAAAGTACTTAATGTATGGTCCCTCGTGAAACTAGTTAGTTTTGTTTTCCCTCAAGTCCTGATACGAAGTCGAGGGAACATCACGACTCTATTTGAACTAACTTTTTCCCTCGGGACCATAAATTAAGTGTATAATGTTCCCACCAAAAACCACTAATGAAATCTTCCTCGCTAGTGTGATATTACAAAGGGAAAATATATTTTTAAGATTTATGCGCACAATATTACGATATACTTGGTACCAATCCAATGTGTAGGACGTCAATTTTATGTCTTTCCACTGTATGTACAAAGAAGCAATTAATCAATTTCCAGTGAAAGAAACTATATTTATATTCTGGTGAATCTACTAAATAATGTTACGCCAAACTTAATTATTTAAAGACACTGAATATATCCACAGCTCGACGCTATAGTTAATTCGGCAAGAAATTGTATTCTGACGTAAATTGTATTAGTTATTTCTAAGAAATCTTTCACACCCTTGCTTTAGCAGTTCTATTCTGTTTAGATCACAGATGACGTCAAAATGTGACAAGAACAAAAAGGTGATACATGACGCGCGACCGAGTGTGTCACTGATATGTCGCAAGAATTGTTTTGAAATTTGATGAAGCCAAATGTTGTTAATGGTGACGTCTCCTATGAGGCTCTGATAAGTAAAAAACATTAGCCAATTCAAATTCAGCTAATTGTGTAAAACGATGTATCAACGAATTTTTTCGCAGTTCATCTGTCACCCAGTAGTGTATAACTTGCTCAACTCAAGATGGTACCGCTCTTTTTTTCAAGTAAGAAAAGAATCATGGCGGACACCTAAACGCTGGGGATACTTTTTTCTCAACCTCTGGACAGTGTTTGACATCGTCTTTTTTCCCTTTCTCTTTGCCATTTTCTTCGTCGTACATTTGGTGAAACAGGCCTTGAGGAGGAAAAGAGGTTTATAATATTGTTTTTTAGCATTCGTCAAAGTAGTTGACATCGTACAGTACACGGTAATGCGTTTTTAGCAAACTCTCAGGTATTCAAAAGGTTTGGGCCTGGAGGGGAAGAGGGGTGGGGCGCGGAGGGTGATGGCTTTTCTGTATTTTATTCCTAACTCCATAAAACTGAGTTACCATGCAAGCTGAGTCCTCTCAATTGAAACAATACAGGAGTCCTTGGTAAAAGCTACGCGCAAAGCGCGGGTCACGCATTTCTTCCCTAGCACGTCAAACGCGCTTCGTGCTTGCCTCGTGCTTGAAAAAAACTACACCTGTTCTACAGGCTACATCGTTTAAGGAACGTTTACAGGTCTGGTATTTGTTCCCACCTAATCATAACAGTCTCAAGAATGGTTGAGATCGTTATAACCAAGTCTTGAGATTAGATACAAGCAGCTACTGGAGAGTTGTTGAGGTGCTTTTTATCAGTTGTTGCATGTTTCCTTCATGTTTCCTTCATGGATCGGTGATTTAATCGCTTAGCTTCTGATGCTTTCCTTGATCATTTTTCAGAAACTGAAATATGTTTCGTTTTGACGCTGGGCAAAGATACCCCAAAAGAAGAATTTAATCAGATTAAAAGGACGATAAACTACATTATTCGTAAATATGGCTGCCACTCTGCCAAATACTGTGTTGTTTTACACGAAATAATCGATAATATCAACTTTAATGAGAGGTACAATACTGAGGCTGCACTTCGAGCAAGGATTAACGCGTTACCGCTGCCAAGCTCTGACAGTTCTCTCGGTGACGATCTTACGTTCATCCAAAGTGCTTTCAAAGACCAAACACTTGGGAAAAAGGCCAAAAAGGTGAGGTATGCGTGCGCGCAACCGTTTTTGCAGATAGTTAAAATTAAATATAAATTTTAAAATTAAACGTACCGGAGGTCTTCAACAAAATTCCCGAGGAGTTTTACGCAATAGTTCTTCTGAAAGACGGGAAGATTACGAGCCGATTTACTGATACCTAGGGAAAATAGTGGGACATATTTTTCTCTTTTTGATACCTGACAGAGAAAGAGCATAAACGTTTGATTATTCGTGACAGCGAGTTTAAAAGCTTGAAGCGAGAGGGGAAAGCCTGAGTTCTTTAGCAAGAAGGCAAATGCAAGAGGCTGGCCCATGAGTCATGACACTAACTAGAATGTGATTTGTGTTTATGTTTTAAACATAAATCAACCGTTGCGTGTGGTCGTCAAAATCAATCAACATTGATTATGAATTGGTAAGTATAATTTACCAGGGCTTGATAACCAGCCCATGACTGTAAAATGAGCCCATGGGAACAAGTTAAGAGACAAAACTCGACAGCGCTCCAATCCATTTCACTTTTTGCATTCAGTTTCAACTCTCTGCACAGTTTGGGTTAACTGACGCCTTCTCAACCAATTAGTATGCTGACATTTTTGCATGCATATTAATGATTTAGTTCTTTATCGTATCTGTCATTACATGTACATAACAGCTACAGTTATCAGTTGTGTGAACAGATTAATTAAACGGCGAGATAAAGAAAACGACCAATAACTGATGCAATAGATCCATGGCCAGTAGTTAAGGTACTTACAAGCACATCAGCAATATTTACTGCGAATTCAGTCTTTGTCGTTGAGAGTGTTTTTTTTTTTTTTTTTTCACTGAAAAATTTCAAGCAGCTCTTTTATAAGAAGGTTAGTGTAGTTTCAAGAATGATAAGTTTGGGCTCATATTTGATAAAACTTGTAAATTTGTTCTTGAGAATCAAAGGAATAAATATCACCTTTCTTCAATTTTATGTTTAAATTAGGTGGTCGTGCTCTTTCTTAAT